TGGCATCATTCCTTATTCCATTTACATTATACATAGGGCTGCTTGTTTAGCATTACCATCCCTTAATACTAACATTTATCACCCTCTAATTCTCTTCAAAGTAAGAACTACAGTTCCCTTTTGCTGCACAAATTCCATTAAATCTATTACGATTTACTAATGCACATCTGAGGGTGGACAGCCACAGTGAATATGATTTCTGAGATTCCTTGCTACTTTCACGTCTTCATGTATATCCTTTGTACTAGTTATTATGAAGTCTGATATCATCTCCAGTGAACATACTTATTAAAAAGATATCCTGTAATAAATCTATGAAGTTGCCTTGTGGTTTTATTTTCTTTACTTAACATGTCACATCATTCACTATAGCATTTCAGTCTAGTAATGTTTAGGGCCAGAAACTGACCATAAAACCTCATTTATGTCAATCTACCTTGCTGTTTTGCATATATCTTAACATGGTATTTGTATCTAAACAAATTCACTAATTCTTTCTGAAAGAATCCTTTGTTTACATTAATAGTATTGATGAAACTGCGGTTGTCTTCATGGAATAAAAGAAGAGAGATTTGAATAGGAAAATTAATCCTGATAGTATAAGAGTTATAATAGTATGCACTGGTTAGGGGGACTACTGCAATGCACATTGTTTGCTGAAGAAATAAGAGCAAAAGGGCGGAGGAGAGCCTGGTGCTGGAATGAATGGGAGGAAGGGCAATGGGATGGTTGACTATCTGAGTCAAGAAAACTGTGGCTGAGCTAGGAAACTACGGGGAGAGAAGCCTTGATGAGGACAAAAATGTGGGACAAGGGCCAAGAGAACCTCTGAGAAACTTGCACATTGGTATTGCAGGGAAATTTGATGACTGGTTGCATGGTTGTCATACATTGTCAACTGCTCATAGAACAGTACCTCTGGGTGATCCTTGACTAAGTCAAACCTGATGTTTGCAGAGTTACCACAATGACAACACATATTTTGGAGAAGACAAATCCAGAAAGTCTCTGAAGTGGCTGCTTATAAAGCAAAGAGAATTGCTGCGAAAATTGCAGGAAACACAAAAGTCATGAGGACACGGGAGACAAGGTGGGGAAGCTGGATGCCCTTGCAGGGAAGCAGTGCATGGTGTGGCTATCAGCGGCCTGGTGGCAGGAGGAGGCAAAGGGACTGTCACAGCTGAGCAGCCAGTGAAGGCCCAGGGATGGCACATCTCGGCATCTTTTACTCTCTACACACAATTGATACACAAATTCCATTTTCTCCTTGTTCTGCAGAGTCCCTGTGAACTCAGGGACAGCATGCAGTACCCTAACGACTTACTGTTCTAACCAACATGAGTATTCCTAAAATGTCGATTTGAGGTTAGGTTATGCTCCAAAATTGGAGAAATGTAAAGCGGAGAAGGGTGAAAGAATTATAGTTTCTGCTGTCAGCTCTCCTACTAAAATCTCCTGGTACAACATGTCTGAAGAAAGGACTGTCAAAGCCTGGATGGGTGGAATTCTACTTACTGGTCTCTGCTTATCAAAGTATTTTCTTTCAGCAGAGAGAAATCTTGTTGCTTTGCCCATATTCTCCTGGACCATGCTGCCAGTTCTGACGCTGATAGTCACATATTTCCTTTTAGCTTGCTTGCACATAGCTTTCATCATGCTGGTCACTGCCACCTCTCTGGCTCTCTGTCATCAATATGTCTTTTACTTCCTTCTCCTTTCTTCACCTTTTCTGGCCACCACAGACTGCCTTTGGCTGTGGTGCACCCACCATGCAGCCCTGCTTTGAAGAACCTCATCTGCTTATGAGGCTTTTTGTCATTTTATGCCAATGACTCTGCATATTAATTTTTCCGCTCTTGAATTGTGTTCAACCAGTGAATAGCCTGTGTGAGATATCCCAACCATCCTCCTTAGCACATCCCAGATGGTGATCCTGCCAACAATTCTGTTCCCAAATCCCCTTATACTAGTCACCAAAACACTACTCTTCCACACCCACATTATGGGGGTATAATTTATCTCCTTTTCTGAATACCAAATGCATTTTGATAATTTCTCCAGATTTTTTTTCCTTCCACACAATAAAAATACTGATTCATGCATGGCCCAATCATCTTCCATCCAGGTCATTATAACACTCCCTTCTGATTACATTTTTCTAACTCATTCAAAATATAACGAACTTCCTAGCTTGTTAGTCAACATCTTCAGTTACCTCTCTGAATCCCCCTACTACTTCCCATTGAACTATTAAAATACTGAAAACTTAAATACTGAAATTGAAAATTGAAATACTTTTCCCTCATATCACAGAGTTACTATTCATACCTTATATGAATAACTGAATAGATACTCCTGACATAATGTTCAACAGCTTCTTATTGCAAAAGCCTTTGCACAGATATTCCCAAACTCATAGGAAAAAACCCCTACAGATCTAATGCCCTGAAAAGATGTATTTTGGGGGATTTTCTCTTGTTTGCTAATATGACAACACATTTCTAATGTTGAAATACTTCTTTTAGACCGGTTGGCCTGTGTTTCACTGTCTCTTTCCACATGGAAATATCACTGGAATTTTGTGGAGAAAACTGGATCAGCACAGAAATTCCTTTCTCACCTGTACCAAAAATGATGGATATCTTCTCTACTTCCCACTATTTTAATAAAGCAGATTCAAAGTAGTGTACTGTTTGTAGACAACAGCTGACAATAGGACATTTATTTTTAGGTTATTCATCCAAAGGATATATATGATAAGCTGTGCAAACAATTAGATTTTTAAAGTTTGTGTAAGTCAAACATTTTGTTTAGCTATAAAAATGATCAAATGTTGCAGGTGACAGGCCAAAATTTGATGACCTACTTTCACAAAATGGGAAGGTAGGTTCTTCACGAAGATGTGTGTGAGCTGGATGGTAAACAAAGCTTTTGCTGAAGGCATATAGCATTTTTTGCTTAGCGTTAATACACTGAGAGTTAAAACTCAGCTTGCTCTTTTGACAAAAAACAAATGTTGATTGTTTCAGGCTGATTTCAGGTAAGTGTGTAATGCAATAGGATTTACTTTATCTTTTGTACATTTCCCAACATTTAGCAGAGAGGACAGAGGGGTTTCCCGGGTGACTACTGGGAAACGTGAAGCCAAAGAAAGTATCAGTTTTAAGAATATAAATAAGATCCTGACACTAAGTTTTCTACAAAATAGCTTTCATGATGAGTAACCCTGTCATGCAGCTACAATGGAAAACCACATTTGCTGTATATTTTTGATATGATGGTGGCTCTTACCTCCTTGTTCACATAGCTGTTGTGCTAAGGCATCCTTGAATATAACTTGGCCTCTATGAGTCGCTGTAGCCCTGTGAACATAAAAGAGACAACAATAAATAATGTAGTATACTTATTTATATATTCATATGTATATCTATATGCATGACTAATCAAATTAGAAGTCCCATTCTGTTTTCTTCGTGCGTTCTTCATTTTGCACTCTTTTAAATTCATAGAATAATTTGTAATCTGTTTCTATGCATAGCAAAAGAAAAGTTCCTAAACCAAAATGGCTAGGTTGGTAATAAAAACCGTTGGCACAGGAATTCAATGAAGTACGTGAGTAAAAGTAAGTGTATCACAAAGCTAAGAACATCACTCTACCTGAGAAAGCATATCTGTCTCTGTGCAAAACAGAGGAAATGGTTGCAGAGCTGCTGCCATGTGAAATTAATAGTCACACGATCAAACGGGCAATAGCAATGGCAGTATTGTTATATGCTACTGACAGAAATGTAGAGTTTGAATGGGTGTCCAGAAATCCTCTCTGGAAACAAAGGGAGAGACAAGTAAGCTCTCTGCTCCAGCTCTGTGTCAAACGTCTCCAAAAAAAGGAGGCCCTTCAACATTTCTTGGTATGCTGCATTGGGTTTTGCTGCCAATTAAGTTGTTCTATTTCCCTCATTGTCCAAACAAGTTAAAGTGGATTACTTTCTCCCCCTCTTTTTTTTTTTTTTTTTTTTATAAAATCATCATCATTCTTTCTCTTTTTTTTCCTCAAAGTAAGAAGCCCGGTACCTTCACACTACCTGTTCACTTTCTGAACACTGTACTGTTTTCTTGGTCTCCTCTGATCTCAGTCTGTCTCCATCTTTGAGGAATTGATATGCCTTAGCTGCACATTAAGTTTCTATACTTGAGGTCTCACCAGTTTCATCTAAAGAATAATTATTTCCCATTAACAATGCACAGCTAACAGACCGGCTAATGTACAATGGAGAAAGATTTGTCATTTTGTTTTCTTATAATCAGCTGGAAATATAATGCAATTTGATTTGTTTTTCTCTTACAGAGATGTCATGCTAACAGTGCTAGTTATTCTTTATTTCCAATTGCTCATTTCTTCCCTCTTTTCTCAGTGTAGTACTTCACAATTTCAGTTTTATCTCAGAGATTTAAAAACCTTTCAGTATTTGCCAGTGTTACCTCTGAAGTCTGATTTCTTGCAGCCAAAGTTCTTCCAATATCTGTCTAGACTCATACATGCTCTTTATATCTGTTCTTTATGCTTTCTTCAAGTCAGTCATGAAAATAATTAACATTAATGGGCTCAAGATAGATCCATATGAACTCCTTGAAACAGCCTCTCAGTTCAACAGTAAGACATTGAAAGCTACTTTATGAGTGTGGTTTTTCAGCCAGCTGTGTGTCCTTTCTAACGGATCACACCTCGCTTGCTTATGAAAATGTCAGGACGGATCATAAAGGCGTGGTCCAAAAGAAAAGTCAAAATATAAAATTTTTTCTTGATTACGAGGCCAGTTACACTGACAAGGAAGAGCAACAAAAGGAGCACATCTAACATTAAATTTTTCATGTACGGTGATCTTCAAGGTAAAACCCATCTGCAAACTGTCAGAGTAGAAACAGGAATAAACAAAAACTTTTCTAGGATCTAATTTGCTTCCTGCTCATTTAGAAAAACTTTATTTACAGCAATGTGTGTGTCCAGAAATGCAAAACTATGGCCACCTGATGCTCCTAGGGCTTTTATGGCACTCCCTTCCTCTGCTTGCAGAAGGAGAGCTGTGTTGCTCTTTCCATCTGCTTGGACTTTCAGAGGCATATGTAAAGCTGGAGCCTTGCCTCACCTAAGCGCAACAGTGTTTTGGTCATAGTCCTGGGATCACATCACCAGTGTGAGGTTTTGGTTGTAGTCCCTACTGTGTGCATCATGGAAACTATTTTAGGATTTCCAACGATTCTGTAAAATACAACAAAACATCATGCCATAGTTCTTCATTAGCTTTTCTTCGTCTACTGTCATCACCAGTGACCATACTGAGTACAGAGTAAAACAGAAACAAATACATCGCCCCAGCACATAAAGAAAGGCAAGAGAGCTGAGGCTTAAAGTCTCATTTAAAAATATGAACCAAAGTATTTCTTAAAACTCTGTTGTAATGAGCATGCAAGAAACCATGATCACTACAAAAGTGATCACAGGCATATGCAGACACACCAGTCAGAATGGTACAAAAAAATCTTCAAAATCAAACACGTGCCCAGACTTCATTAAAAAGGACCAGATATGGTGACTGCTGAAACGGCAGGGTATCCCACAGCTGGCTTTGGGTCTCCAGCACAGCACCAACAGACATGTTTTGCGAGTATGTTTCATGGTGGGAATACCACGTTTTGAGCAAAACCCTGGCTCACCATGCTCCTGGGCACATACAAGAAAATGCCAAACCTAAGGCACAGAAGGTACTTTGTACAACATTTATATTCCCCCCTGAGGCTGGCAGGGTGAAAGAGAGGGCTCTTTGCAAACATTGAGAAAGAAAACTTATATTAGCAGTGAACTGGGACTTCAGAGACGCTGTTTGTGCAACAGCCCAGGATACAATTCAGGATGTACACAACAACGATGGCAACCACAAAATTCCTTTATGAGGCAGATAGGAGCAAACTCTTGGAACACGGACCACATGCAGAGCGGAGCTCAAGTATGTGTCTGAACGCAAACAAATACCAAATAATACCAATAATACCAAACTGTGTGTTGTTTATTGAATCTCTGCATGCGTGTGAGAAAAAGGGGATTTGGGGAGCGAGCCAGCAGCCAGTTGAATGATCTGCATCTTTCTGTGTCTATCATCCCTTACTTGATAATGCAAACTAGGAGCCAATTATTGCTGCTCCGTAGCAGGAGTGATCTGCACCCTGGGGACAGCAGTGCCATGCAGTAAGGGCACCGCTGCCTGCAGCATACGCTCACGTTAGCATCAGCTTTGCAATGGGCATATGCACGAGTTCCGCACCGGCAGGTGCAGTTTCAGAGAATTATTAAGGGTATTGTTACTGTCAGTTTACCAGTATTATCCGCTTGTTTTTCTCCTTATTTATGCTTTATTCATGGAGCAAATGACAACGACGCAGTGCAATTATGCATGAACTAAGCTACTTTTAAAAAGAAGTACAAACCATACGTTTTCTGTATTGAACTTTCTTTGCTGGTGACGTTCCTACCTGACAGATCAGATTAATGGAACAGGATCAGGAATTTGTATTTTTCTTTTTTAAAAATATGTAACATATCCAAAACCATATCCATCCCTGTATTCACACTCCAGTCTAAAAACTACATAATATTTACAGTACTTAGAATAAAAATAATACTGGCAATGCCTGAAAAAGATTCTACTAAAGAAAGAAAATTATTCAACTATTATTTATGGGGTTTTGTTTTCTTGACATATATATCCAGTAACTGATTTTTGTGTTCTTTTTCATAAGTTTCTATACTGTTTTTAATGTAGTTAAATATTGCTTAGGTGAAGAGTAGTTACTATAAGCTGGTCTTATTCCACACCAGTCTATAGTCCTGCTCTGTCATTGTATGCTATTTATTTCCAGCTAAAGGGCAAGTGACTAATCAAATGTAACCTGTCAGTCAGCCAAAAGGCAAGAAGCATGCTCCACGTGTCCCCAGAGGTAATTCCTCACTAGGAATAAATCGCTCGAAAGAGATGAGAAATAAAAGAAAAATGGGAGGGAACAGGAACATCCTGACATGGTAAGTGAGAGCTTTGGAAAAAAAAAAAACACAACTTAGAGGTAATAAGGTTCCTCTTTATATTAACTTCACACTTCCATTAGCCTAGATGTATTTGTCTGCTTGGGGCTATGCAAGAGAGAGAGGAAAATGTGTTTTAAAAGTAGTGAGGGGAGATAAACTACTGACAGAGGAAGAGGTCTGAACACAAGAAGACTATACCAGATGTCAGCACTCACTGTCAGTTCAAGGCATTACCAACCCCACGCTTCAATTACAGCGATTCTGTGAAGAATTTTCCTTCTTAAACCACAACTATTCAAGTTGAAATCAGGTGCCAATAAAGACTTTTAGATTGTCTGTCACTGAAAAGCAAAAAAAGAAATATGACTTGCTGATTCTTTACTTGAACTATATATAATCCACATCACCTGTGAAATGTGACTTGAAGTGCCACGCTGCTCAAGTGCCAACAAGCTTAAAACCACTTTATTCAAGTGCAGTATTGCCAGCTCCTCTGAGCAGAGCCTAAGTAACATCAGTTTGTCCCCTATGCGATGATACGAATCGTTCCAGGTGATTTGGAAGAAAGAAATCTGGAGACACTTGCACACATTCGAAAACCTGTAGATAGAGAGATGTCCCTCCAGCCTCCTCTTGATTAGGTGCAGTGTGCTGAGCTGTGTGTCCAGTAGCAGAGTGGCTGTCCCATGCCTTCCCCTGAAGCTGTCACCATTTGGTCATGCTCTGGGGTTCACATGCCTGGTGCTCACTCTGCCCGTAGAGGGATACTTGGCATCTGCGCCTTTCCCTGGCGAGGGAGGGCACGGGGACAAATTCATTCAGGGAAAAGACTCAAGTTTCCTACAGTAAAATACCTCATCTCATGGCACCTCCAAAAAGGTTTTCAACAGGACCAAGGAAAATGAGGTTATTTTTTCACCCGTGCTAGCAGAGTTTAACCCTATGTCTGCTGCTAGCAGCTGCGTTGCATATCTGTACACAGTGGTTTGTGACTGCTTCCACTGGAGGAAATTCAGGGTGACATCCACAACGCCAGCTCCAGGGAAATCAGTGACTGACTATACAAAGCTGAGATTAGTCTTCACAAACTCCGTAGTGCTATCCCCCCAAATCAGGTCTGATCCACTGACAGTATGGACTGCAGTCCCTCCCTGCCACTGCAAGAGAGATGGCCGGTGCTGGGCATCGCTTGGACTGGAACGGAAAACTAAGCAATGCATACCCAATAATTGCTGTCATGATTTTATATTGAAGTATCTCATGTTTCCCATTGGATTCACGTGCATT